ACATAGGAAGATCCAGCCTATTGTTTAGGATACTGAACAGTGAAGGAGAGGAGAAAGTGTTCTGAGAGCAAGCAAGCGAACAATGGAGTGTGCCTGCCTTAATCTCTCTCCTTCCTGAAGCTGTGGCTGCTCTCACATGCAGAATTAGCTGAAGAAACCCCTGCTTCCCTCTGTTGCTTTTTGTCCAGGGTGTTTGTGACAGCAATAGAAAAGAGACCCGAACACACGACCTGTGCTTTCCCCACGAAGCCACCACCCCTGCCCAGACGGCCTCCTTTACGAGACACGGCCTCTTCCTCACCTCAAGTTTGCTCCCATTTCTCACCCCTGGGCTCTGATTTCTGACTAGATTACAAGTTCCTTGAGGTCTGTGTGCAGGTCGTATTTTCCTTTATTCTCTTTGCCGCCTAGCACAGCTATCTACAGAGACTGACACAAAATGCAAAAGCTCTCCTCGTGCTGATGATTAATCGCCCTGAGGATTGTTCCAAAGGCACAGGCGAGTGCCAAGAACACATTTGCTTCAAACATGTGCTCAGTTTTGAATTGAATCTGCCTAAGTGGTGCCATCTGTTCTCAGGCAATTTCAGAAACATCCAAATCCGGTTTTTACCTTTAAAAGGACAAGCGCGTGGGCATGCCCACGAGGCCTGGAGCCTTCACTGACTGCAGATGAGCAGACATGGGCTCGTCCATTGATGCAGCACACTGGAGAACACTGTCTGAGGTCTAAGAAAACTTTATCTAAGAGGACACCAACAGCTACGTCATGCAGAAAGTATTTATGAGACAGTACAGAACTCAAGGCATGGATTCCTACAACATATTACTGTGCTTAATTGCAGGCTCCGGAAATGCACTTTGCATGCGTGATCCTCTTAGTCCATCGCAATGGGCATGGACTTCCAGTGTCCATCAAGGCCTTAGCTTAGCTGCTGTGTCAGCATCAGCAGCTGGGGGCAGAAGCAGCTGTTGAGATTCCTCTGTGTGACTCTTTTTCCACATCACCTGTTAATTGACTTTCAGTTCAGGTCACAGAATTTATTGTCACGTGAACACAACAGTGAAGTGAAACCTGTGTTTAAGTTCTGCAAATAGCTTCCAGACACTTCCAGAACACCTCAAGTCAGGTTCTATATTTGAGTTTGTGGTTTTACATGCACAGTTATTTGCTGACCCACCTCAGCAGGAAGAGAGGAAGAGAGAGAAGGAGGGAGGGAGGGAGGGAGGGAGGGAGGGAGGGAGGGAAGGAGGGAGAGCACAATCCAGCTAGATTTGAGCCAAATTTCAAATTTTCAGGCTATTTAACCACTCACTGCGTTGCACTCTCCAAACTGTTGCCAGCATGTTGATATCTGTGTATTTTGCTAGTTCGTGTAAATCAACCATGGCGCGTATCAGGACTTTCTATCAACAGAAGAATCTCTGATTGGAAGCACATCAGTGTATGCTCCTCCATCTGTGTGCACATGTATCCATACCAAACTTTCTTTGGTTCCGATCTGAATGGCTCTGAATTCATTCACATAAGTCTTTGTGGTATAATCTAATTTTTGCTGACAGCACAATGCCACTGACTCGTCCTTACATTGTGTAAATTCCTTTCTTGGAGAAAATATAAGTCCCCAAAAGTGTAGAGAATGACAGGCCAGTTCCTGATGATCTCACTATTCCCAAGTTGCTTCTGATGGTTTTTAACTAAAAGAAACAGCATTAATCTGGTCCGCGATAGAGAGTCCTTGCATCCTCTGGAGCTCCAAGAGCCAGGTCTCCACTGTCTGCGTCTTTCTCACCATTCTGGTCTCCTGAGCTCCCACTGTAATGGCCCTTTAAGCTCTTCTTATAGCATTCAAGGGCATTTATAGCCCAAAGTTTACAACTCTTCTACATTCTTACCACAAAACACTTTGGAAGCCTAAGGACCACAGTCAGATTTATGTACCAATGCCCCCGCTTCTCAGGACCAGTTTTCTATCTGTTGCTGTGATAAAATACTCAACAAAAGCAACTCAGGAGAAAGAGGTTACACTAGCTCACGGTTCATGGCAGGGTTTCACGGGAGTGGCAGCTTGAGACAGCATCTCACATTGCATCCTGGATCAGGAAATATAGGAGTGGGTACATACGTGTTTTGTGGATGCCTGGTGGTTGGTCTTACACAGTCCAGGATCCCCTGCCCAGGAAGCGATCAGGAAATATAGGAGTGGGGTACATACGTGCTTTGTGGATGCCTGGTGGTTGGCCTTACACAGTCCAGGATCCCCTGCCCAGGAAGCGATCCTTCCCACAGCTACAGTGGCTTTTCTCACACCTGTCAATCTCATCACAATGAGTCCCCACAGCCATGTCCAGGTGTTTCTAGACTCTGTCAAGTTGACAGTCAATATTGCAGGTAAAGCATGAGTTCCTTTTTTGGCTTTCTCTTCCATCCTTATAGAAGGCCACCACCTTAATTCTCTGTAGCCTCCTAACCCATGATTTCCTATTTTAATGACATAAGTTGTAGTTGCATAAAGAGTTGAGAATGCCAGTGTTATGGTAAGGAAAACTCTATCACAGCATTTATATCATTCTTAACCTTTTTGTTTTTCCTTTACCTTTTTTTAGAAGTGTGTCATCATTTATGACAATCTTTTCTGAAGGCCACTACATTTTGACGTCTAGTCTATTGTCTCCTCTGTCACAGATGTCCATTTAGGCTACACATCGGCATCAATTTCTTGTTATCCCAAGACATTGCACCTGCCATTCTAATTTATGCATCTCCTGGCACACCTTCTCATGATTTCTCTCTGAGAAACATACTAGTGTTTTATCACTATGTCATGAAGATTTTGCATTTGCAGTATTGCAACATATTGCTAAATTTCTTTTTAAAATATATGCTTAATTTGTACTTCTATCAACAGTTTGTGAAAATTGCTGTATCCTTATGTCTCCGCCAGCACTTATTTCCTTAGCCTTCATTTTGTAATTGCTGCAGCCTGATGGGCATGGAATAATTTATCTTTATAGTTCTAATATCTACAGTCATTATTATAACTTGGAGCCGTTTTCTAATGCCCATTAAGTATATTTCTAATTTCTTTGAGTTATCAAAGTCATCTCCCTTTCTCATTTTTTCCCAGTTTTTGTTTTCTTGTTGATATCAACTACCATTTTGGAGGGATTAAAATCTGCTCGTGTGTTTTCTTATCTTGTCATCAATGTTGTGTTGTTTGTTATATATAAGTGTCTAGTGCATTCTGGTATTTGTATGCATAGTAAGAAAAGTCATGCTCTTTATTTTATTTTGGTGTGTGTTTGTGTATATATGCAAAAGCACAGGCATGTGTATGTATGCTGAATGCATGTGAGTATGTATACATTCATATGTGCAGGTGTTCTGATCTGTGTTGGCATGTGTGTTTGTATGTGGGCATTCATATGTACAAGTGTGCTGCCCTGTGTGTGCATATGTGGGAACCAGAGGTCAAGATCAGGTGTCTTCCTCTATCATTATTCTTATATAATAACTTCTTATAATTTCATGGTCTTTGTTGCCCTTCTGAATAATTATGCTCCCTGGTAAATTCTTGTTAGGCTACTACAACTTAATTGATTTTCACATTTTGATCTTGCAAACCCAGTAAACTTTTTTAAAAAATGTTTTTCCTCGTGTGTGTGTGTGTGTGTGTGTGTGTGTGTGTGTGTGGTGTATGTGTGAATGCATTCTCATCTGTGAGTGTGGGAACAAGCATGGAGGTCATGGTATTTATTTTCCATTTTGTCTCAGACAGGATCTTTTCTTTCTTCCACTGCACACCCCAGCCTAGCTGCCTCACCACCCCCACTGTACACCCAGGCAGGGTGGACCACCCCCTCTCTGCACAGACCAGGCAGGGTGGACCACCCCCTCACTGTATACCCCAGGCAGGCTGCCTTATGATCTAGATCCTCTTCTCCCTGCTCCCATCCAGCCTTAGGAGCAATGGATGACAGACATCTTCTATCATACCTGGATTTCTGTGGGTTCTGGAATTCAGACTCGGGTCCTCATGTTGTGCCCCCACTGAGCTTCAACCCAGATTCTTGGTTCTTATCAGTTTGGTTGTAGATACTCCTGCATTTTCTAGATAAATCTCCCTAGTTTCCATGGATAGTGAAATTCTCGCTCCATCTTTTCCTATATTTGTGCCTTCTCATTAATTTTGGATTATTATACGTGGATTGGGTTTGCAGTCGAGATCTGAAGTGTCCTAGAACGCACATGCTTACCTCTGTTTCCATGACGATATCATTAAGCATTTCCCTGTGGTTGGGTTAAAGTATGGATTGTGGTTGGATAAAGTAATAAAGTTCTCACCTAGGTCAAAAGACTTAACCTCTTCCCTCCCTCCCTCCCTGCCTCTCTCCCTCCCTCCCTCCCTGCCTCCTTCCTACCTTCCCTGTGTGTGTGTGTGTGGTGTGGTGTGTGTGTGTGTGTGTGTGTTTGTGTGTGCGCGGGTGCATGCGCTGTCCTGTTCATGTGCATTTGGAGGCCAGAGGTAGACACTGGGTGTCTTTCTCAATCCTCTCCCCTATCTTTTGAGACAGGGTCTGTCACTAATGGGTTAAACTCTATGGCCAATGAGCTCCTGGAAATTGACCTGTCTCTGCTTCACCCCTACCCTTTGCTAGAGTTACAGACACACACAACCTTGCCAGGATCTTTCACGTGGGTTCTGGGAATCTGAGCTCTGTTCTCTCACTGTGGGTCTTTACCAATTGAGCCACATCTCTATCCACCAAATACTCCTTAATGTCCCCCTAGGATGCTGTTGTCACCTTCTGAGCAACACATCCACATATGTTACCAGTCACCCACCAGGTAACAGCACATAGACATTGAGAGGTTCACCTGTGAGTCTTTGCCTCATGGGAAATGCCTTGCTATTAGAAATACAATCTAAACATCGTTTGATATTCTCTGAAGGTTCTCCAGTCAAATTATTATACATTTTGCAATTTCTTTTTTCTAGACTCCTATGAACCAAGCTTCAACCCGCTCACACTGTATTTTCACTGTTCACTTGACCAGCAAGGAGCCGGGATCTGCCACTGTCAGGCATGCTAAGCTCCACTTGGTTGACCTGGCAGGGTCAGAACGTGTTGCGAAGACTGGAGTCGGGGGCCTGCTTCTGACAGAGGCCAAGTATATCAACTTGTCACTACACTACCTGGAGCAGGTGAATTGGGGGGACCGAGATCAGTTATACCTGCTGACATTGTGGCCTAGTCTAGATGTTTGTTTTTTAATTAAGGTGAAATATGCATAACAGCATTTATCTTTCTCACAGTTTGAGAGAGAGAGAGAGAGAGAGAGAGAGAGAGAGAGAGAGCAGAGTCCAAAAGAGGGCATTGGATTCCCTGTAACTGGAGTTATAGGTTGGTTGCGAACTGCCCAATATAGGTGTTTGGAACTGAACTGTGGTTCTCTTTAAGAACTGTACATGCTATGAACAGCTGAGCCATCTTTCCAGCCCCAATTTTTGATCTTTATTTTAAGTGAAGAGTTGAATAGCATGAAGTACATTCCCAAGTAATGTGCAGCCAGTCATTATCCAGTCCTAGAATTTTTCATAATCCCAACCAGAATCTCTGAACCTATGGAATATGAACACCCCTTATACCTTTTATCTTTAACCTCTGACGGCTTGTCCTTTCTGTCTTTCCGACTTTGCCTTCTTCAGATTCTGCAGGTGGAATCACTCCATGTGTGTCCTTTCATAGTGTCTTTGTATAGTTGCATAATGATTCCTTGGTCCCTCCACACAGTAGCATATAACACAGTTCTATTTCCTCTTGGGGCTTGAGCACATGCATGGCCCTCAATTTGTTTATTCCCTGGTCTATTTGGGCTGCATTGTCCCTCTGCTATAGCCAGGAGCCCTTCTGGGAACATCCATGTATCTACTAGAGCTATGTAGACACCATTCCATTTAAACCCCACAATGCCCTTCTGCTGGAGGTGTTAACTTCTCCATTTTTACAGATTGTAAGTATTTACCATCCCAAGGTCACCCACCTAGTAACAGGATTTAGGTTTGATATGAGTTTTCACTGGGTCCAGCACACAATCATTTTTATTGCTTCCAAAGAGAGAGGGGTACCGTTGCCTTATTATCTGTATTGTAGAATTAGTGCTGAACATGGATCCAGCCTCCAAATGGTCTCCTGCTGCCTGTTCTGTTTGTTTCCCCAACTCAGAGATTACCCCTGAGAAGGTAGCTCAGATATGAATAGTATTCTGACAGCTTCTGGTAACTTCATCTGGTCAGTAATTTTCCTGCTATGGTGATCTCTTAGCCTTGGCTTGCCTTGAGCCTCCCACATTCCCTCCTGACTACCATCCAACCCACTAGCTGCTCTATTTGTAACTTTTGAATCTGACTCCAAGAGCAAAGAAAAATCACCCAGATTTAGGTAGATAATCTCCTACCCCATCTGTAAAATGAATGGATTGGATGGAGGACTTCTGGTGTTCCTCTCTTGTCCCTGAATGTTTAGCCTAAAATATTTTAGGAACAATGACAATAGAAAGCCTCTTTAATGCCTAAGGAAACCTTTTGGGACTAGTGTCTTGGTGCTTACGAGTAGTCGTGCACTGAAGAGGCCAAGCCAGGGGAACCTTCCCGAATGAGAGGATATGGTTAGCTTCATCCCTGAGAACTCCGAAATGCAGCGCCTTGATGAGGGCCTGAGGCATTGGCCATTTCGGTGCTTTTGACAAGAATCATCATTTCTAAACTCTTTCTTGCTCAAATATTCCAGGCACTTATACTGATGGAGCTTTTCGCTTAATAGGACATTTACTGGAATCAATGATATATGCCTATAACAGGCTGTATTCAAATTGCCTTATTCCAAAGAAATGTGTCTATGTGTTCAGATTGCAGCATGGTTTTAATTCCTATTGTGTCCATCTGTTCATAGAAAATTACACTCTTCAGCTGAATCAAACTTTCTACCAATTGTAATCACTCAGGAGAAACAGTCTTCCCACATCCAAGTCCTTCCTTCTTTCCACGCAATCTCCTCAGATTCCTGGCTCTGGTTAGAATTATTCCAGTCCTCACAACTTTACAACCCTTGTGAACATTCATAATGCCTATGTGGCCCTTGTTTTTTCTTTAATTACTTTTCTAGCAAATATTGATGATGGTCTTATGAAAGCCAGCTTTGTCAGCTTGACAAAGCCAGGAGTCACCTTGGAAAAGGCTCAATGAAGATTGTCTCTATTGGGTTGTCCCATGAACATGTCTGTGGGGATTGACTTCATTCATTTCATTGATCTGGGATGACCTGGCCCATTGTGAGTGGCACCATTCCCTAGGCAAGGGTCTTGAACTATATGAAAATGGGCAAATGGCGCTGAACAAGAGTGAACCCGTGAACGTACACTCGCTGGTCTCTCTGTTCTTCACTAGGGATGTTAAGTGACTAGCTGTTTGAAGTTTCTGCCTTGACCTCCCCCCGGAGTAATCTGGAATGACAAACTAAAATAAGCCCCTTTCTCCCCCAAGTTGTTTTGTTTCAGGGTATTTTGTCCACAGCAACTGGAATGAGAGTAGGGTAGATCTGTAATGTGCTGAGGGTCATAGACACGGCCTTACCCCAGAGGTCTGAAGCAGCGACCATCATGAGAACATTAGCTGCACCTCAGATGGGAGCTGGGACAAGCAAGGAAAGGATGAAGACAGATTGGCTGAGACCGGGGAAGCACCAGTTAATGACGCCTCTGAAACGAAGAACGGGTGGGCGGGAGCAAGGCAAGGGTGAGGTAGGTCAGGTCAGGTCCTGGGAGCTATGAGCAAGTAGAGCTACAACTCCCCAGCCCAGAGGACCGTTCACCAGGCTAAATGTCACTCATGCGGCATTGGCCTTCAGCAATTCTGCTTCCTTTCCACCCACCACATCAGGACAGCTGTTAGCTATTTTCTCTGAGACTCAAGTGCCTTCCCAGGCAGAGAGGAGACTTGGCATGAGGTCACGGGAAAGAAGACACTAGCAGGAGAGGGAAGGAGAATGGGTGTGGGAGGGAGGCTCAGACATGGCCATGGAAGACTGCTGGTGAGCGGACGGGAGGTCAGAGGAGAGCTACCTTCCTGAAGACACAGAGACGGATGGAGCACTCAGCAATGGGCAGTGAAGAGTGCTCGAGGGAGGTCAGAGGAGAGCTACCTTCCAAAGGAAGACACAGAGACGGACAGAGCACTCAGCAATGGGCAGTGAAGAGTGCACGAGGAGATACTTAGGAAAACTGCATAGCTCGTGGGCATTTATGACAAAGTTATCTCTATGTGTTTTCCTGTGTGGCTCGTAAAACAGGGGAGAGTAACTGGCTCATCCATCCACTCGGTAGGTAGCGGTCAAGTCTCCACCAGAAGCGGTGGGTTTTGCTGGACAGTGGGGTGGATTCCTGAGAACAAGCTATGATCATGGAACCTGTGAACCAGCAAAGCTAAGAACCTGTTCTGTTGCCGTGATAGCGCCACCATCAAAAGCAGCTTAGGCAAGGAAGGGTTTGCTTCAGCTTCCGGGTGACAGCTCATCACTGAGGAAGGGACTCAAGCAGGAACTTGAAGCAGAAACCACAGAGGAACTCCGCTTGCTGCCTCACTCACACACCCATACTTAGCTGACTTTCTTAGACAGCCCAGGAGCCCCTGGCAAGGGCATGGTGCTGCCCACAGTGGGCGGGGCCCTCCTACACCAATGAGCAAACAAGACAGTCCCCCTCTCCAGATGTGTGCACAGGCCAGTCTGATCTGGGAAAACCCTGAATGGGGACTCTGTCCTCAGGGGACTCTAGGCAGTGTCAGGTTGACAGCTAAGGCTAACTAGAACAGAACTAACACCTACCTATAGTCAGATAAACCCGTTATAGACTCCATGTAAGTGCTGATAACTGATCACACCCTCTGTCTCCCAGTTTCAGCATAACAGACTGCGGAAGAGGGGCTAGTCTGCTAGGCTGCTTTGCATTAATTAACTTGCATTGGGTTAGAAATTTCTCACAACTAGAATTCTAGTTGTCTTGCTAGTCATGTTTAAGAGACCTCACACCTGCTAAAACTCGGCCAGCCTAAGTTTGCTGACTTTACATGTTTAAGTGATTAATATTCAGTTTGCCAGAATATTGTTGGTTTTGGAGTTCTCTTTATGTATGCAGCACTTTTTCCAAAGCATTTCCTCAAAAACACTTCAAGCTGCAGTAACAGGGCACCTCTTAGCCGCAGAGCCCGAGTTCGTGTGAGGAGAAGGATAGAGAGTATGTGTACTTGTGCTAACTGTAAACTTCAACAAGTGCCTGGGGTGACCTGAGGTCTCCATCAGCCCAAACAGCTAGTGAGAAACCGCTGGGAGCCAGTGCTTGCCCCCCCCGCCACTTCAGAAATCAACTGAGGCTGCCCTTAGCCATCAGCCAGTCCCCAGCTCCTACCCAATGAGCTCCCACACTGTGCTCCCCCCGCAGTGAAGGTGCTGGGCCACGGAGAGCCATGGCTGCTCCCAGTCTTGGTTGGCTTCTGTACTCTTCTGTACTTTTTAAAGAAAATCCCCCTTGGAGGCTGTACAGACGCTCAGTGGCAAAGAGCACTTGCTGCTCTTGTAGACCAGAGTTCAGTTTCCAGAACCCACATCAGGTAGCTGACAGCTGTCTGTAAGCACAGCTCCAGGGGGTCTGATGCCTTCTTCTGACTTCATAGCCACCTGCATGCATGTGCACATTCACACACACGTGCACACACACACACTCACACGCACATGCACAAATACAATAAATACATAGAAATTAAATAAAATCTTTTAAAAATAAGAAGCAAACCTAATCCATGAAGTAGCTGAATTGTTGATAGCATCACAGTGTCTAGGTTGTGAAGGAATCATTAAGGGTGGTGTGAGGTTCTGTTCTTTGTTCCTAACAGAGTGCTGTAAGGAATATTTTGCCACTGTAACTATATGTGAAATTCAGAGTAGGGGAAACATTTCAAATCAGTTATACAACAATAACAAAGACCCAAGGGGGCTGAAAGATTGCTCAGCGGTTAGGAACACACACTGGTCTTTTTTTTTTTTTCCAGTTTAAATTTAGATAAGAATCAAGGTTGCTTCACAAGTCAATTCCAGGTCCCTCTCCCATTCCCTCCCTTCCTCCCGTGCCCTCCCCCCCCCATTATCCTCTCATTTCTCCAGGGAGGGTGAGGCCCTCCATGGGGGTGTCCATAGTGTGTCATTTCATATAGGGCAGGGCCTAGACCCTTTCCCAAGAGTTCTGGGTGAGAGTGCACCTCACATTGTTCTATTGGAGTCCAAAGTCCGTGTGTATACTTGGGATGGGTACTGATCTGCTGCCCAAGGCTCAATAGATTCCCTAGGCCTCTTCACTGACACCCAGCTTCAGGGGGTCTTGATCAGTCCCATGCTGGCTTCCCAGGCTAATGCCTGGGATTCAAGAGTTAACCTTTGTCTGGTCAGCTGTTTCTGGGGGTTAAACCAGCCCAGTCTTAATCCCTTTGATCATCAGTCCTCCCTCTCTGTTACTGGCTTTCTTGAGTTCAGCTCAGTACTTAACCAAGGGAGTCTGCCTCTTCTTCGATCAGCCACTAAATAAAGTTTCTGTTTCCCAGACTCTCTGGCCATAGGATTGTAGGCTGGCACTCCCCAGATCTATGTCTAAAATCCATATATGAGAGAGTACATGCCATGTTTCTCTTTTGTGACTGGGTTACCTCACTCAGGATGGTTTCTTCTAGTGTCATCCATTTGCCTGCGAATCTCATGATTCCATTATTTTTTTCTGCTGAATAGTACTCCATTGTGTAGATGTACCACATTTTCTCTATCCACTCTTCAGGTGAGGGACATCTAGGTTGCTTCCACGTTCTGGCAATTACAAATAAAGGTGCTATGAACATAGTGGAACAGACCTCTTTGTTGTATGAATGGGCATCTTTTGGATATATACCTAAGAGTGGAGTTGCTGGGTCTTGTGGTAGGTTTATTCCCATTTTTCTGAGGAATCTCCACACTGATTTCCAAAGTGGCTGAACCAGTTGGCACTCCCACCAGCAATGGAGGAGTGTCCCCCTTTCACCACATCCTCTCCAGCATAAATTGTCATTGGTGTTTTTGATTTTAGCCATTCTGACAGGGGTGAGATGGTATCTGAGAGTTGTTTTGATTTGCATTTCCCGGATGGCTAAGGATGTTGAGCACTTTCTCAAGTGCCTCTCAGCCATTTTAGACTCCTCTATTGAAAACTCTCTATTTAGTTCTGCAGCCCACTTCTTAATTGGGTCCTTTGCTGTTTTGGAGACTTGCTTCTTGAGTTCTTTGTAAATTTTGGAGATCAACCCTCTGTCAGATGTGGGATTAGTGAATATTTTTTCCCATTCTGTGGGCTGCCTTTTTGTCTTGCTGATTGTGTCCTTTGCCTTACAGAAGCTTCTCAGTTTCAGTAGGTTCCATTTATTAATTGTTGATCTTACTGCCTGTGCTACTGGTGTTATGTTCAGGAAGCTGTCTCCTGTACCAATTCGTTCAAGGGTACCACCCACTTTCTCTTCTAAGAGGTTCAGTGTGGCTGGATTTATGTTGAGGTCTTTGATCCATTTGGACTTAAGTTTTGTGCATGGCGATAGACATGGATCGATCTGCATTCTTCTACATGCCAGACTCCAATTATGCCAGCACCATTTGTTGAAGATGCTTTCTTTATTCCATTGTATATTTTTAGCTTCTTTGTCAAAGATCAGATGTTCGTACGTGTGTGGGTTAATACCCGGGTTTTCAATTCGATTCCATTGGTCTACCTGTCTATTTTTGTGCCAATACCAAGCTGTTTTCAGGACTATAGCTCTATAATAGAGCTTGAGGTCAGGGATGGTGATGCCTCCGGACGTTGCCTTGTTGAACAGGGTTGTTTTGGCTATCCTGGGTCTTTTGTTTTTCCATACAAAATTGATTATTGTTCTTTCAAGGTCTGTGAAGAACTGTGCTGGGATTTTAATGGGGATTGCATTGAATCTGTAGATTGCTTTTGGCAGGATTGCCATTTTTACTACATTGATCCTACCTATCCAAGAGCATGGGAGATCTTTCCATTTTCTGAGGGCTTCTTTAATTTCTTTCTTTAAAGATTCAAAGTTCTTACGATACAGGTCTTTCACTTGTTTGGTTAGCGTTACCCCAAGGTATTTTATGTTGTTTGTGGCAATTGTAAAGGGTGATGTTTCTCTGATTTCTCTTTCAGCCCTTTTATCATCTGTATATAGTAGGGCTACTGATTTTCTTGAGTTGATCTTGTAGCCTGCCACTTTGCTGAAGGTGTTAATCAGCTGTAAGAGTTCCCTGGTAGAGTTCTTTGGGTCATTTAGTTCAGTTCCCAGCATGCGTGTCAGGCAGCTCACAACCTCCTCTGACTATATGTGCAGGGTCCAATGCCTTTGGCCACCATAGGCATCTGTACTCTTATGCACATACCCCAAACACACATGGATACACACACACACAGGATTAAAATTACTCTTCAAATCTATTCAATGTGGTCTGGACTTACAACATTGCTCAAAGAGACCTGCTCAGGGTCCTCTCTTGTGGTAATGTATTATTTATCATTCATCAAAGCTAGCCTGAGGGTTCAGAAAGCGAAACTAGCCACAAGCCATACATGTCAGGCAGTGGTGATACACAACTTTAATCACAGGACTCAGAAGATAGGCAGATGGATCTCCGTTAGTTCAAGACCACACTGAGCTACACGAAATTGATCCAGTCCTAAAGAGAAACAGCTCACACGAAGGTGATCGCAGCACTTGAGATCACACGCCTTTAATCCCAGGGCTGGATAGGTATAAAAGACAGGAGCAAAGGGGCTTATGTGGCGAGTTAGTTTCCAGACAGAAGAACAAGAAGAATGTTGCACTGTGAGAATTCGTGGAGCCAGGATCACCCTTTAAGTCTGAGGTAGAGGTAAGAGCTAGTGACTGGCTGCTTTGCTTATCTGACCATTTGCTTGAACCCATATATATATCTGGGTTTTTTCTTTGTGTTACACTCACTCAGGTAATGGGCCAGACCTACACCGCAGACTCTACCACACTACTGAGTGCCTCCCATTTAATAACTACCCCAGAAGTTCTCCCCTGATCTTTGTGGATGCATATGTGTGTGAGGCATGCGTGTGATCCGTGCATATGAATTGTGCAGTGTGGAGCCAGAGGAGAATATTGGGTGTCTCCTATTTCTTTCCATCTTGATGCCTTGAAATGGGGTATCTCACTGCTGCCCTGACACAGGGTATCTCACTGAAACAGAAGCTCATCGTTTGGCTGAGCTCGGCTGGCTGGCAAGTGAGCTTCTGCGACCCACCTGTCTCTGTGTCCACCAGTGTTGGGGTCACAGGCATGCACAGCCACATAGCAACTTTTTACACAGATGCTGGAGATTTGAGCTCATGTACTCCTGCCTGTACAGTAAGCACTCCCTCACACAGCCATCTCTGAAGCCCTCTCTCTTGACAACGTCCCTCTAAGATGCTCAGGCATTCTGGTCCCTTCTTTACAAGGAAAGGGACACTCCCATTCCGTTGAGACTTTCCTCAGTCACACAAACGAGAAAGCTGGACTCTGCCTCCAAATCCAGGCTTCTTTCTTCTGTCACACATAGCTTTATTTCCTGAATTTTAGGACCACAGTCCCACTTGGATGTTTAATTATTTTCTCTAGCAAATTTAGATCCCTTCATGGTGAGGATGGGGTGTGTCCATCCCAGATCCAGGGATTAGATCCTTATTGGCCAGAGCAAACTGGAGTCTTCCTCTGGCTACAGTGATCAACCCATGGGTATTCTAGGGTCCCAGATGCTCCCTAGGGAAGCTCAGGATGAAAGAAAAGAAGTCTTTTCTCATATGAGTTATGAGTAAAGAAGCGTGTAACATCAGGGTGTTATCTGTAGAGCTTTCCTGTTCCCACCCTCGTGCCTGAGACCGGCGTGACTCACGTGCTCTGTAACTTGCAACCAAAAGTGAGTTCAGGAACCTCCAATTAATATCACCAGGAAGGTTTCTAAGCATATTCTTTGTGCTGCCCACATCAGTGTTGCCAAGAACAGTAGTGAGTATTGACGTCTTGCAAAAGAGGTGAAAAGTGGGGGGGGGGGTGAGATGCTTAATTGGTGATTTTGGAGCAGCCATGCTGCTCCCTCTTCCGGCAGGTGCTTGGGAGGCCAGGAGGGGGGGTTGGGTTCCCTAGCACAGGAGACACAGGAGGTTGTGAGCCACTCAGCGTGGGTGAGAGGGATGGAACTCAGATCCCCTGAAGAGCAACAGGTGCTCTTAACCACTGAGCAGCTTCCCCAACCCTGCTTTTGTCATTTTTCAGTGAAAGCTCTTATTACAGTGACTGTTTTGTGCCCAGATCTTGGGTATCTCCTGTGTTTAACGAGTATATCTATTTTAATTACCTAATTATTATATTTAATTTTAATATTATGTTTTGTATTCACATTATTGAAAGTCCATTGTCGGGTCTGCCTTTCCTGCCCAGCTAACGCCATCATCTGTCCACTTCCCACAGGTCATCATTGCCCTTTCGGAAAAACACCGCACACACATCCCTTACAGGAACTCCATGATGACCAGCGTGCTCAGAGACAGCCTGGGAGGGAACTGCATGACCACGATGGTCGCCACCCTCTCTGTAGAAAAGAGGAACATTGATGTACGAAGTCCTTCTCCCTGCAGCTCTTAGTCTAAGTCCTGTCACTGGGTGGTGAGGTGGAGTTGCGGGGCTGGGGCGAGTTGGCATCTTTTGAGCAGTGCTGATGTGCACTCTCTGGGTATCTGGGAGCCATCCTGAGATCTGGTCCTCGACTCTCTCGGATGGTGGTCCCCAGATGCTTAGCCAGGGGATATGCAGAAGGGCTTCCATGGGTAGCCATGGAGCCAGCTGGGGTCTTGTAAGGGACAGATTAACATTTGGGATGTAGACATTCCCCCAAAGAGGAAAACAAGGCAGAAGGTACACCCCAAGCCAGCGCCGAGTCATTCACGGTGAATGGTGTGAACACCTCTCCTTCGGTGTATTATGAACATTTATTCTGTGGTCTTGCATGTTTGTGGTGCCTATGACTTTCATGTGACATTCTGGTTTAACAGAGTCAAATATACACCAGTTGCATCTTGGGACCCCAGGATTGCCCATAATTTTGACAATTTGCTTATTTATTTTGTCATTTTGCCAAGCCAAACCCATTCTAAAAAATAGAAAACAATATCCTAGGGCCAAACCCCCTCATTTTGAGGCATAGTTATTTACTGTGATTTTCCAGACATCTTACTCTTTCGGTATCTTTACCTGTTAATGAAAATTAAGTTTATTATGCCTTTCTATGCCATCATATTTTAAGAGGTTATTTTGTGGTTTTCCTTAGGAGTCCATCTCTACCTGCAGATTTGCTCAGCGAGTGGCCCTCATCAAAAACGAAGCCATCCTCAATGAAGAAATTGACCCCAAACTGGTAAGCAAATGCTTGATTTCTGAGATGGGGACTTACATTGCTCAGGCTGGTCTGAAGCTTCATCTGCAGGTGAAGATAACCTTGAACTTGTGGCTGTCCTGTCACCCGAGTACTGGCATGGCAGGCATGAACCACCACATCTGGTTTCCGTGTTGCTGAGATAGCGCTGGGGTTTTGTGCACGCTGGGCAAGTGCTGTGTGCTTTGAGTTGCATCCCCAGCCCCGGTAAGAAACTTACTTTTTAAATTAGGCTCAAAGAAATATATGTGCTTAACGTAGATATGTATGACCAGCTGGACCTGGTTGTAGGCAGTGGCTCTGTGCTAGGCAGTGTCTAAGACCCTGCATGCATTCACTGATGTAATTCTCAGCATCCTTAGGATGAGCTCTTCTGGCTGTCTCCATGGATAGTGAAATTGAGCTACAAGGGTGTGAAATAACTTGCTCATAGTCTTAGTGAGAGTGGGTAGCAGAGCTCAGTATTCAGGCTCAAGAAATCTGCTACATGACCCATCGTGGCTGAACACATCCAGCAGGCTGACCTGCAGTGGCTCAGTGGCTCAGCGGGCCAGTGCTTACCCAGCCTGTGGGGATCACAGACCCTGGCCTGAAACCCACCCCTCCATCAGCCTGGGAGCAGGCAGCTGCTAGACAATTGTTTACTGAAAACAATTCAGTGCCATAAGCTCCTGATAAGGGCTTGATAAGGGTTCAGTCACTGAAACACCCTGACTTTGATCCCCACCCCCCAACCCCTCCACCCACCATGGCTAGCTACTTCTGCTGTATCAAGTCATCTTTTACACATCTCATAAGGAGAGAGAGTTATTAAGTAGAAATATTTTGCACAAGCATCCTGTTACATATTTTAGAGTTGATTCATGAAAAATTAACAGTTTTCTTGGTTTCATAAAAATAACTCCTGCCTCATCAAAGCAACTTTTTTATGCTAGGAAATCACAGATACAAGATTCAATTACTCACTTTGAATATGTCTTTTCCTTTGTGTTTGTAAGTTCTCTGAAAGGAAAGGCAATATTGGATCAACCCAGACCACCCTCCAAAACTCTGACTAAATCTCCCAGATTTGTCAAATTCCAAGATTAAGATTGTATATTTTTAATCACTTAGTCTTTCTCATTTCTATAGAAAATAAGCTGATGTGAGCCACATCACTGTGGCTGCCCCTGTCTCTCCTGCATCCCAAAAGCATCATTCTAGCTGCCCCTTCTCCTCTATATCTCAAGAGCATTGTTGTGCAGAATGAGACAGGTCCTATTATCTGGAAGGCAAATATTAGCTCACAATTTGTGGAAAATAAACATAAGACACTGGAAGCTTTTCTTTATACGTTTTGCCAGAAAGACTTTCCTTTGAATGATCTGAAGGCAGAGGACACCAGCATGTGTTTGATGTTGGTCTGTGACAGATTTAAAGCAAAGAGAGATCAGGAGCAAAAAGCTAATAACTGATAATTGAAGCAATCACTGTGGTTCCTCCTACCGCTGACTGGCATGGTAACTGCCCAATGTGGCTTGCTAGTCTCTGTAATAATGGCACCTAAAACCACACATTGGTGCTTATTATCTTCAAGTGTGAAACTTGCCTGAAATACAAGAAAAATGTGTCCTGGAGTGGGGGCAGGTGGGATGGTTCAGAAGTTAAGAGAGTACACTGATTTTGAAAAAAACAAAAAACCTAAGTTCATTTCCTAACACTGATGTCAGGTGATTCACAACTGCCTGTATCTGCAGCTCCAGAAACTGATGTCCCAGGCAGGCATCATCTGCACACATGGCCACGTGCCCACACACAGACATAATTTCTAAAATGATAAAACAAATCTGTTTTAAAGAAGTGTTAAAATCCACCCAAGATACAATTTGGCTGGATTTCCTGTGTTTTACTCTCAGATTTAATGCCAGTTATGGTGCCTCCCTGCATGATCAGAATCACCACACACTAGTACTTCAAAGCGACGTGGTGAAGCAAGGGACATGAGCTGGGCAGATTCTGATGTGACTGGACATGGGTCAGGCTCTCCCTAGATGCCTCTGAGTCCACAGGAAATCTGTGGGAGGCACGGCCTTGGTAATGTTAGTTTGGGTAATCAGTACTTAGAAAACGTGGAACCAGGAGACAGCTCAGTTGGTTAAGTGCTCACTATGTAAGCATGAGGTCCTGAGTTTGACCCCCACAAGAGCACTGGTGTGATGGTCACACTTGTGCACCCAGTCCTGGGGAGGAAGAGGTAGGATAACTCCTTGGGCATGTGCTCCCTCCTACACGCATCCACAGCACAGTAACGGAAAGCCTAACGCACAGTCTCAGTTCAGGAGAAGCTGTCAAGTGAATGACTACTTCTTGTCCAAAGGGTTGTATTCTGTGTGGCTTGAAGGTTTCCAACTGTGTTTTGAAAGGAGGCCGACAAGAGAAACATGTCAGGCTGTGCATTTTCACAAAGTCCCTGGAGCCTCTGTCCAAAATGTTGTGTGATTTGAGGGCCTGTTGGTCCTGTTGATGTGGTCAAGGGAACCTGAAGCTCACTCGTATCGAGTTCTGTAAGCATCTTTAGAATCTGCTACCTGAGGAGAGGGGAGCCCAAGGCTGAGGTGTCCTTGAGTGTGGACAAACAGTGTTAACCCAGGGATGGAAGTCACAGTCCTGGACCCCTGAGAATGGGTGTCTGCTTCCTTCCCTAACATAAAACCAGCTAAGAGGGAGCCAGAAAATAAGTCTATTCCCTGATATAGAGACACCAGGAAGGCCATCCCAGACTTCAGGTGTGTGTGTGTGTGTGTGTGTGTGTGTGAGATTAAGTAAGTGGGTTTGTGCAAGTAAGTACAGGTGCCTGTGGAGGCCAGAAGAAGGCATCAGATCTCTTGGATCTGGAATTATAGGCAGTTGTGAGTCACCTAACATGGGTGCTGGGAACTGAACTCAGGAACTCTGAAAGAGCAGTACTCAGTCCACTGAACCAACCCTCCATCCCTCCAGCCTCATATTGAGAATTTGAAAGTCTTATCCCTCCTTCATACAGGTTGAATTTCACATGCACAAAATCCCCTTGGTCTTAAAGTTTGTTTTTGTTTGTTTGTTTGTTTGTTTGTTTGTTTCGGTTCTCACTCTGGAGCCCTGGGTGGCCTGGAACTCACAGAGATCTACCTGCCTCTGCCTCTGCCTCCAGAGAAGCTATCCCCAAGTAAGAAAGTGAGAGAGTAAACAGATGTATTGGAAAGGGGCAGGCGGTAGGAGGCAGAAGAGCTGATGCTAACTTAGCTGGTTTGGGGTCTCCGGTTCTCGAGGTTGGGTACAAACTAATGCCCCGCCTTTTTACCTGTCCTGGGGCGCTGTGCTGGGTAGTTTTATGTGAACTTTACACAAGCTAAAGTCACCTGAAAGGAGGGAACCTCAATTAAAAAAATGCCTCAATTAAGCAAATCGTAAGATTGGTCTATAGCCAAGTCTGTAGGGTATTTTCTTCATTAGTGACTGATGGAGGGGGTGTGCCCATGGTGGGTGGTGCCACGTCTGGGCTGGGGGTCCTGGGTTCTGTAAGAAAATAGTCTGAGCAAGCCATGGGAGCAAACCAGTAAGCAGCACACACACCCGTGGGCTCTGCATCAGCTCTGCCTCCAGGCTCCTGCCCTGCCTGAGTTCCTGCCCTCACTGCGTTTGATGATGGACCGTTGTGTGGAACTGTGAGTGACATAAACCCTGTCCTCCCCAAGCTGCTTATGGTCATGGCGTTTCCTCCCAGAAAGAATGACCCTAACTAGCACAGGTGTCTTTCGATCCCATAGCAGGAGGGGCAAAGAAGTAAGGAAAGCTATATTTTATAATTGTTGGCTTCTGGTGTATTGGAAAGAAACTTATAAATGGATTATCGACCAAATAAATTCCCTATCAATTTTTGGTTACACTTACCTTCATGTACTCTTGGATGTTCTGTATAGATGACAGCATGATCTGCAATAGGAGCCTGTGATCTTGTCAGTGTCATGGGCCTAGCCAAGAATTTCAGTAGAATTTCAAAGACATTCTTGTCTTACTGTTTCTACCACTCATTGCTAAAATAAAGGTTTACTGTAACTTTTTGGTTGATACTCTGACTTAAATATGTTCACCTACCTTCAACTTGACTAAGTCTTTACAATATGTTGATGGATTCCTGATACTATCAAGTACTAGTTTTAGAAAAAGATGTGATGTGATGTGATGTGTGTGTGTGTGTGTGTGTGTGTGTGTACATTGGTCAAGTTGTTCTGTCACGTTCTGCTGTATGCCTTTGAGATAGTATTTCCCAATTCCCTGATAAGGACTGGTATGGCAGCTGGGATAATCTCCACCAACTACTGCTCCACTTGGTCCAGGTGTGGCAGGCATCCGTGTCCAAGACCTGAGCTCTAAGTGGGTGAAGAGACTGGATCTCGGGTCCTCATGTTTGAGTAGTAAGCATTCTTCCCTGCTGAGTCACCCCACACCCCCCACACACATCCACACACGCACACAAACACACACACACACACACACACACACATACCCCTTTCTTTTAGGGACACAGTCTCTTACTGGCCTGGAGCTAGCCACCAAACTGCAGGGATCCGCCTCCCGAGCATAAGGTTACATGCATGCAGCACCATGTCTAACTTTTCTTCCTGGATTTTAGGGATCACTCATGCCCTTGTGCAAAGGCAGATAGCTTACTAACTGAGCCATGTCTATAACTCTCATACATTTTGACACATTTCATTGGAATATTATATGCTCTTGAAGATTCATGATGAAGAGCTGCATAGGCCAATATAAATGAGCTCAAATCATGTGAAAGAAAAAAGAAAACAGATGCAATTATATGCAGTAATAGAGTATTCACACATATAAGGCATGCAACAAGATATTATGCATTATCTAAGGGAGCTTGCATTGGAGCATGAGTATGGAATAAATGATGACAGTGTAAGGAAGCGTTGTGATAATTCCTAACTTCATTATAGCACACTGCAGGAAGGACAGTCGAGGAGCAGAGAGAGATGTCTCAAGTTGTATCTGTAACATTTTATTTGTTTACAAAATAGTTCTAGAGCTATTTAGACCGAATGTTAATGTTAGGGACACTAATGCCTTTTAGATTGTTCTGTGTCCACTTTTGTATCCCAAAATAGTTAGTAGTTTTACATAATTAGTCACCCATGTGTGCACAGGTGGAGTTCAGAGGACAATCTGTGGGAGTCAGTTCTCTTTTCCCACCATGTGGGTCTGGGTCCCAGGGATTGAACCTGTGTGCCAGGCTTATTCCCTAGTCATTGAGCTATCTTGCACACCCAATGCCTCATAACCTTCCGAGCTACGTGTTTGCTGCCACCCAGGCTGCGATGAGCAGGAGTGGACATGTGTTCTCCCACTTTTCTCTGCACAGATGATTATCCGCTTGCAAAAGGAGATTGCAGACCTGAAGGTGGAGCTGGCCATGGCCACAGGGAAGTTGAGGCTAGACGAGCTCACGGAAGCAGAACTCCACCAGTAAGCACCCACTCGCTTCTCCTGGGCGGTCAGAAACCGCACGGGGCGGGGGCAGGAGGGTCCCAGTGAAGAGAGGAGTTTCTCCATAGGAAGAGGGACGACGCGAGACTGGCAGAATTTCTGCTGACTGGGCTTTGAGGAAGTAAAGACCACACCTGCGAGGCTGGGCATGCCTGTCCAGGGCCAGCTGAGAAGGGCCTGTAGCCTGGTCGTGTCATTTCACATTACGCACACGTGATGCTCCCAGCTGTGGGTCTCAGCTGTGAAGTCGAATTGAGAGATATCGATATCCTTGTATTGCACTCACCTTGCCTTGGGCACCAGTGTCTGCCATGCCAGAGTAAAGTCTTCCTTCATGAGTGCATGGCCCATATATCACAGTTCAAAAACACATTTGGCATGGAAGCCCGTGTTCAGGATGCTGTGCAAGCCTGGTGTTCTCACGCCAGTGAGATTTGCAGCGCTGTAGGTGCGTCATCATTCACTCTCTGACCTTGAACTGTGGAGGTGGGCTCTGTTTCTGTGCCACAGGGGATGGGTGACAAGGCTTAGCAGGCAACTGTGAGCTCTGTTTTCATAAGAAGTGGAGCTGGGCTAGGCTGCGGCTCAGTCGTAGAGAACTTTCTAGCATGCATGAAGCCCTGTGTTCCATCCCCTGGCCTTGCACAACCTGGGCATGGAGTTGCACACCTGCGATACCCACACTGGGAGGTGGAGACAGGAGCAGCATCAGAAGTGCAAGACCAGCCTTGGCTCCATAGTGAGTTAGAGCCAGCCTGGGCATGCATGGGACCACGTCTTTATTTTATTTTAAAAACTGTTTTTTTTCAAATGATATGTTCTGATTATAATTTCCTGCTCCCCTCAGCCCTTCCCAGCCTCCTGACCTCCACACCCACCACGTCCGCACATGCCCCTTCTGTCTCTTTCAGTGGAAAGCAAACAGCCTTCTAATTCGTTTGCTTTTATTTTATTTCTACTTTTTAGAGCCCATGACTTTAAAAAAGTTCTATGAGATATTTCTAAAGACACGGCCATATTACCAGTGCTCTCAAAGGGGAAGTGGGAAATACGGGAGAAAATGGTCCCATTAAACTGCCAAGTTTGATGCCTGAGTTTAGTCCTGGACTCTCAGGGTGGAAGGGGAGTGACTCTTACAAGTTGTTCTTTGATTTCCATCTTCTCACTGTCATACACTCACAGGCACACCACATACACACACACACACACACACACACACACACACACACATCAACATACCACAACATGCCACATAACACTACACATACACACCACACACATACCACACACATACACATACACATGTGCACGCACACCACACACACACAACATACCATACACATGCCACATAACACTACACAAAAACACACGCACACATCAACATACCACACACATGCCACATAACACTACACACGCACACACACACACACACATACACACACACACACATACACACACAGTTTAGTGATAAACCATTGGATCCCTGCCTGTGAGGTCTGACTGCAGCATGGAAAGTCTTCATCCAGGTTTCTGCTGTAATCGAAGCTCCTTCCTCTAGGATCATGCTTCCTAAACCTAGAGTTCAATAAGATTGCTCCACAGCTTACCTGACGGCACTGATGCATAGCAATAGAAAATTAAAGTTAAGTACACTGTCCTGATTTAGTTATTAAGAATCTGAGTCAGTACAGGGGAGCTGGATCAACAGTGAAGAGGTTCCTAGTTCAGTTGCCAGCAGCCACATGTCAGCTCACAACCACTGTGACTCCAGCTCAAGGGGCTCTGGTGCCCTCTTCTGGCCTCCAAGAACACTGCATACATGTGGTACACATGCATGCAGAGACAAACACACATAGCAAAAACAAATGAAAACTAATAATGTTACTCTTTGATCCCGGGGGACATCTTGTGAAGTATTACCAGCATTTGACCCAGCCAGGAAAACAAAACCCTGTAGGCCGGGCAGCAGCAGGAGTTTGACATAGGGAAATGAGTGTGCAAAGGATGGTATGGCTGAGATCCTCAGCCATTAGTCAGGCGTTCTGGAGATCAGTAATGGTAGGAGCCGGGGTGGGGGGTCGGGGAACGGTGTGACAGCACCATTTAATGGAATCTCCTTTACTGCAATAATGCCTGGAAGTCAACTTTGGAGAGGAGAATTTATTGTTAGCTCATGGCATGTATTTGTGTTTCTGTGCCTGGTGTGAGGCAGAGCATCATGGTAAAAAGACACAAGAGAGCATAGCTGTGTAACACATGATGGTGCCTAGCAAAGCAGAGAGAGAGAGAGAGAGAGAGAGAGAGAGAGAGAGAGAGAGAGAGAGAGAGAGAGAGAGAGAGAGAGAGAGGAGGCGGCCCAGGTCAGGGCCAGATAAAGTTCCCCAAGGATCTCCTGGTGATTCACTTTTTCAGCTATACCCTGCTTCTGAAAGTCCCCTGCATTTCCTGGAAGAGCATAGTAAGCTAAAGACCAAGCTTTGGACAAAGGAGCCAGTAAGGAACACTATAATCAGAACATGGTGGTAACGCTATCAAGAACCAAGAGCTAGCACTGCCCTGAAGGAGCTGGAACACGGGGTGCAGCCCCGCAGCACAGGCTATGACACATGGGGAGCAGCCCCGCAGCACAGGCGCTAACACATGGGGAGCAGCCCCGCAGCAAAGGCGCTAATACATGGGGAGCAGCCCCGCAGCACAGGCTATGACACATGGGGAGCAGCCCCGCACACAGGCTATGACACATGGGGAGCAGCCCCACAGCACAGGTGATAACACATGGGGAGCAGCCCCGCAGCACAGGCACTAACACATGGGGAGCAGCCCCGCAGCACAGGCACTAACACATGGGGAGCAGCCCCGCAGCACAGGCACTAACACATGGGGAGCAGCCCCGCAGCACAGGCACTAACACATGGGGAGCAGCCCCGCAGCACAGGCTATAACACATGGGGAGCAGCCCCGCAGCACAGGCTATGACACATGGGGAGCAGCCCCGCAGCACAGGCTATAACACATGGGGAGCAGCCCCGCAGCACAGGCTATGACACATGGGGAGCAGCCCCGCAGCACAGGCTATAACACATGGGGAGCAGCCCCGCAGCACAGGCACTAACACATGGGGAGCAGCCCCGCAGCACAGGCTATGACACATGAGGAGCAGCCCCGCACACAGGCTATAACACATGGGGAGCAGCCCCGCAGCAAAGGCGCTAACACATGGGGAGCAGCCCCGCAGCACAGGCTATGATACATGGGGAGCAGCCCCGCAGCGCAGGTGATAACACATGGGGAGCAGCCCGCACACAGGCTATGACACATGGGGAGCAGCCCCGCAGCACAGGCTATGACACATGGGGAGCAGCCCCGCACACAGGCTATGACACATGGGGAGCAGCCCCGCAGCACAGGCTATGACACATGGGGAGCAGCCCCGCACACAGGCTATGACACATGGGGAGCAGCCCCGCAGCACAGGCTATGACACATGGGGAGCAGCCCCGCAGCACAGGCTATGACACATGGGGAGCAGCCCCGCAGCACAGGCTATAACACATGGGGAGCAGCCCCGCAGCACAAGTGCCCTGTACTGAAGAACCACAGCTGCTATTGGAGACACCACCCAGCAGACAGCCCTGGCTTCCTCTCATCACCGCTCCCATCTCCCATCAGTGCCCAAGGTGGCTCAACTTATCCAGAATCCAGCCATTAAGCAAGTCAAGGAGTATGGCTGCCTCTGATTCTGAGTCAGGTAGAACAAGAATAGAAATTGGATCTTGGAACAACATACAAAATAAAAACCAGTGCTCTCCTGAATCCCTGTGCCCTGGGTGTTGCTTAGGAGGCTCAGCTGAAGGGTGAGTGTTTCCATGTGATGAGCTGGCTGTGCTGGACTCAGTACTTGAATGGGCAAATGGAAGGGAGTGGGAAAACACAGGGCAGCTTGGTGAGGGCTCCAGGTGGGGGTTTCTGTGATGCGGAGTAGGAGGGAGCTTGGAGCAGCCAACAGCGTTTGGGCTTCTGAGATGGGTCCGTGTGCAAATATGCTTGCCTCCAAGTCTGATGACCCGAGTTCAGCTCCCAGAGGAGGGAATCAGTTCTCTCTCTCTCTCTCTCTCTCTCTCTCTCTCTGTCTCTCTCTCTCTCTCTCTCTCTCTCACACACACCCCACCACCACTAATAATAATAATGATGATGATGATGATTAGCAATAATGTCAAAATAAGACTAATAGTCATAATTAATTGAAATAGGCATTTTAAAAGAACAGGTCTTCACACAGTAGATGAAACATCCAGGAAACCTTAAAAGTATAGAAAAGGATCTAGAAGTTGCCAGAGGAAACACAAGTCAATGTCTGATTTATTACAGATTTTTCATTAGCAACCCTGGAAGTAAGAAATAGTAGCAATTTGGGGCTGGAGAGATGGCTCAGCCATTAAAGTCTAGGCTCACAACCAAAAATACAAGAAATAGTGATTTTAAACACATAAAAATCACTTCAAGTATTTTCTAGGTCTAGCAAAGTTTATACTAAAAGTAAAGATGAAATAAAGGCATTTTACAGGCATGCAAACTTTCAGACAGAACCTAGACCTCTCCTCCCAGAGCTACAATGGTCTGCACGTTAGCAAAAGAAACTCACAGTAAAGGGCAGGAAGCAGAAGTGATTACCACATCTCTGTGGCACTTAGTGCTGCATGATATTTATATCTTGTCAATTATTAGCTCTCCTATTCTCCCATGTATGAATCTGCCAGTTTAAGAATCACCAAAGGGCTGGAGAGATGGCACAGGATTAGGAGCTGTAGTGCTCAATTAGAAGACCTGAGTTCAGATCCCAGCACCCACACTGGGCAGCTTGAGTACCTGATGCCCCCTGCTGGCTTCCATGTGTATCTGCAAATGCATATCTGCACACACACACACACACACACACACACACACACACACACACGTAATTTTTTTATATCCTGGAAATC